AGCAGAGATCATGCCACTTCACTCCAGCCTGGGCAACAGAGCCACTCCATCTCAAAAAAAAATGTGGTAGAGACAGGATGTTGCTGTTACCCAGGCTTGTCTCAACACCTGGGCTCAAATGATCCTCCCACCTCAGCCTCCCGAAGTGCTGGAATTACAGGAATGAGCCACCACACCTGGCCTGAAATGCACATCTTAGGCCCCACCTGGATCTACTGAGTTAGAATCCATATTTTGACAAATGATAAAGTTCAATTTATAAATTCAGCACAGATTATTATACTGTACTGAAACTGTATAAGGTGAAACCATAGATAAGGGAGGACTCCTATATATTTTTTAAATATGTGTGTGTGTACAACCCAAGTTACAGAGGATATGGTTCCAGCAATCTCAAAAAAAAAAAAAAACCAGGATGGGCTGGTTAACTTTCCCTGAAATTCTGGAAAATCAAAACCAGAAAAACAAGCATGCAAGCCTAGGGTGGAATTGCCAGGTCTCCATTATTTTTTATTTATTTATTTTTTTTGAGATGGAGTCTCGCTCTCTCGCCAGGCTGGAGTGTTGTGGCATGATCTCGGCTTACTGCACCCTCCACCTCCCAGGGTCAAGCGATTCTCCTGCCTCAGGCTCCCAAGCAGCTAGGATTATAGGTGCACACCACCATACTGATTTTGTATTTTTAGTAGAGATGGGGTTTCACCATGTTGGCCAGGATGGTCTCGATCCCCTGCAGATCCCTGTAGGGAACCAGCCCCCACATCCCACCTGCGGGTACCCCGAGTTTGGTGACAACAAAGGAAAGAGAAAAAGATTAAGAATAAAAGTGGGAGCAGGGGACCATCACTTCTAATGGAGGCAGTGAAGGCTCTGAGCTTAGGTTCCCCACCGTATTTACTGGTTACACTTTGAGCAGTCAGCAGATGGTGGGGTGAAGGTGAGGTGATAGTGGGGAGTGGAGTAATGGTGGGGTGAATCAGTGAGCCAGAACTCAATCAGTGAGCCAGAACTGGTGCATCATTCTAAAGACTGATAACAGTGGCAGTTTGGGAGTTTCACAGAGTTTCACAAAACAAGAACATGTGGTTATCTACAGGTTGCATTCTAGGCGCAGCAGGAGGGAGGGAGTCTCACAAAGAGCAGACAAGTCTGGTGACTTTGTAATGCTACAAAAGGGGTTTTTAAGTCCTTGAGCATGTTATGTACTGTAAGAGAGTCAAGTTCACTCTGCACCTGGAACATGAAGGCTTAAGGAAGTTTGCCTCCCCACAGGCCTGACAGTTTGCCACGGTTTATTGTTCCCAGTACTTGTAACCATGTTATATAGGCACTCTATAAGCCCTTCCTCCAACAGGTCCCTATCTTTTTTTTTTTTTGAGAGTCTTGCTCTGTCACCCAGGCTGTAGTGCACAACTCCGCTCATGGCATCCTCCACCACCCGGGTTCAAGCGATTCCCGTCTCAGCCTCCTGAGTAGCTGGGACTACAGGCACACACCACCACACCCAGCTAATTTTTTTGTATTTTAGTAGAGATGGAGTTTCACTATGTTGGCCAGGATGGTCTCCTTCTACTGACCTCGTGATCCACCACCTTAGCCTCCCAAAATGCTGAGATTACAGGTGTGAGCCACCACTCCCGGCCAGGTCCCTATTCTTAAGTACACTGCACCCAACAGTGACAAGGCCATCTGTGAGATTGTGCAATACTGCCACCGCCCGGCGAGGTGGGCACAGGCAGTATGTTACCTGGGAAAAAAACTCGGTTCCTGCCCACTTCATCCAGCTGTCGAATGTCGCTTGGACCCTCCTCACTGAAACACAGAGACAGCACCCTCTCACAGGGACAGCACATTCACCATCTTCAATCCAACCAGCCAACTCCTTTCCTCTGCCTCTTGCCCCTACATAAGTGGCCCTCATTTCCAGTTGAGAGCCCTCATCTCATACTTAGGGCTAAAGCCACAATCCAAGGAGCTGAGAGCATTAACCACCAGCAGAGAGCAGTATTTCCTCCAGCTCCAAACTCCTGCCCTCAAGGATACTGGATATTTTAGACTCAATGATCTCCAAAAGCTTTTATTATCTCAAGATTGTGGACCCAATATTGCTACAATAAAAAATCCTCGTCAGATGTGCTGGCACAACCCACTTGAAAATACTTTGTATATGTTAGCACCATCGAAGATTATATTTGCATAGGAAGATGAACACAATCGTAGGAACTTTCTTCCAAGTCAAATTATTTCAAAATAGCCAGGTGCAGTAGCACACCTGTAGTCTCAACCACTCCGGAGCTTGCAGGATCGCTTGAGCCCACTGAGACCAGCCAGGCCAGAAGTCAGGCTCCCACCCCCACCATGTCTTTAAAATTTCAAGATAAAGATGAAGGAAAAGGCAGCTGGGTGCACTGGCTCACACCTGTAATCCCAGCACTTTGAAAGACTGAGGCGGGCGGGTCACGAGGTCAGGAGTTTGAGACCAGCGTGACCAACATGGAGAAACTTCATCTCTACTAAAAATACAAATCAGCTGGGCGTGGTGGCGCATGCCTGTAATCCCAGCTGCTCGGGAGGCTGAGGCAGGGGAATCACTTGAACCCAGGAGGTGAAGGTTGTGGTGAGCCAAGACCATGCCATTGTACTTCTGGGCAACAAGAGCGAAATTCCATCTCAAAAAGGAAAGAAAAAAAAAAAAAGGATGAAGAAAAGAGCGTTTGTCAGAACTGAGGACCCAAAGGTTAAAAACGGAGTTTTGAGGCTACTGAGAAGGAATGACTGCAGATAGGACCCCACATTCCATACTGAGTTTAGCCTCTCTTGTAGGCTAGGATAGGCAGTGAGATCTGGTTAGACTCCATGGTGCATGGTTAAGAAAGATAAAAAATGTCACCTCACACCTGTTAGAATGGCTGTATAAAAAAGAGAACTAACTAGCAAGGATGTGGAGGAAGGGAATCCCTGCACACCACTGGTGGAAATGTGGACTAATGCAGCCATTATGGAAAACAGTGCAAAGCTTCCTCAAATAACTAAAAATAGAAGTATCCTATGACCTAGCAATACCATTCAGGGGATACACTGAAGGGAACTGAAATCTGTACACTGGCTGGGCATGGTGGCTGACATCTGTAATCCCAACACTTTGGGAGGGCAAGGCAGGCAGATCACCTGAGGTCAGGAGTTTGAGACCAGCCTGGCCAACATGGAAAAACCCCAGTCTCTACTAAAAACACAAAAATTAGGCCACGCACAGTGTCTCACGCCTGTTAATCCCAGCACTTTGGGAGGCCAACACCGGCAGATTAGCAGAAGTCGGGAGTTAAAGACCAGCCTGACCAACTTGGAGAAACCCTCTCTACTAAAAATACAAAAATTAGCTGGGTGTGGTGGCACATACGTGTAATCCCAGCTACTCGGGAGACCGAGGCAGGAAAATCGATTGAACCCAGGAGGCAGAGGTTGCAGTGAGCTGAGATCACACCACTGTACTCCAGCCTAGGCAACAAGAGTGAAACTCCATCTCAAACATAAAAAAATTTGAGAGGAAAACACTTCCCAAGGGGTTCATGCTATACTTATGACAGCTGTCTTAAAAACCAAGTTTGAAAACCCAGTTAACTGCAGGCCAGGCGCAGCGGCTCAAGCCTATAATCCCAGCACTTTGGGAGGCCGAGGTGGGCAGATCACCTGAGGTCAGGAGTTCAAGGCCAGCCTGGCCAACATGGAGAGACCCTGTCTCTACTAAAAATACAAAAAAATTAGCTGGGCATGGTGGCGTGTGCCTGTAGACCCAGCTACCCTGGAGGCTGAGGCAGGATAATTGCTTGAACCCAGAAGGGAGAGGCTGCAGTGAGCTGAGATCGCACCACTGCACTCCAGCCTGGTACCTGGCAACAAACCAAGACATTGTCTCAAAAAAAAAAAAAAACCAAACACTAAAAGTTTACAAGCACCGTTAAGAGGTTGAGGAGCAGTAACATTTTAACTCACTGGCCACACCCCTCCCCTCTATCACTCAGTTCCCTGAGGGCCTTCCACCCTCCAATTAAAAAGGCTCAAGCCTAAATCTCAAAATGCCAGTGACCTCAAGCCCTCCGAGTACTCTTTCAGAAAGTGACCCAGCCAGACCAGTCTCCTTATAGCAGATTATCTACCCAGGCCCTGTCCACCAGGCCAGCTAGGAACAGGTCAACTTGGCTCCTTTAAATACAAGCAACTACCTCTAGCTTCCTTTCCCAGAAAACCTTCCCCTTTCTCACCATCTCCATTCCCAAGTCTCTTCTCATTGTAGCATCTTCTTAAGGCCTAAGTAAACCAAAGTCTGGGATCAGAATTCGTTGGCCCCTTCAGGACCTCCTGCACAATCATTTTGGAATGAAAATCCCATAAAACGGAAATGGAGTCTGAACAGAGTAGGACTCACTTCCGGCGTTCCCATTTCCTAGTTCTGAGCCTTGTAACTCCTGTACTTCCTTCTCAGCTGTCAGGCGCCCCAAGGTCTCTCAGGGTAGAGATTAGATCCTGACTCCACAAACTCTGCAGCACTCAGCAGGCACTAAGTTATTCTCCTTCCCATGAAAGACCCAGGGTGGCAAAGAGCTCTCCACCATAGTCAGATTTGAATAGTGCCCCATATAAACCCAATTTGTTTGAGCCTCACCATTAAAAGTACCAAAAGAGCTAAGCGTTCTTTAAAAAGGTTAAACTGCTGCAAAGAATAAACTTAAGACCAGTATGCAAATAAACGTGGTAAAGGAAAAACTCCCCATAGCTGGGCAGATTTAGGCCGACACTCATGATATCCCGTGTTCTTCATTTCTCATGTATGCATCCAAGTTTGCCGTGACACTCTCAAGGGTATCACTTGGTCTTCTCCCCTGGATCCAACACTGTATTCCAGTTCCTGCTGGGCAGGATGATCTGTTAACAGGGAAATTCCTAACCTTTCTGACTTGGACATCACTCTTCCAGCAAAGTGAAGAGGGGGAAGAGGAACAAAATTTAACTAAAACGGTCATGTTTAATGGGAACCAGAGGTATGGTTACAATTACATAGTCCGACACAAAAAACCCCCTTGGGGTAATCAGGAGTTGGAAGGTTACAAAATAACGAGGGTAACACTGGGTACAGGAAGAAAAGCTGTTCCAGAACCTGGGGAGCCAGGCTAATAGGGCCTCTCCCTGCGATCCTGTCTGTGCTCACCCCTGCAAAAAAAAAAAAAAAAAAAGGTATCCATTATATTTGGGTTACCAGCCTCTCTCCAAGTCTTGATATCCTATCTGGCCCTCCTACCTAACCCAGCAAGAATGTCTTATCTCAAGTGGGTCTACAGATTCATTCTTCCTGAGTTAATTTTCCTTCCTATCCCACTACTGGTTACAATCTCAGGTCTTTCCATCTAGTCCTTCAAATGAAACCACTTTCTCAACAAAACCTTGTTAACCTATGGCCTCTGGTCAACTACTCTACTTTTTTATTCTCATTTAAAGTCTTACCTGGAGTCCATCTTGCCGGGGCCAAAGCCACCTCTGTCCCCACCACCCCGGCCCCCTCGGAAGCCTCCACGGTCCCCACCACGGCCCCGGTAGCCTCCTCGATCATAGCCTCCTCTGCCACCACGACGATCATCTCCGTAGTTACCCCCTAGGACAAAAGAAGTAAAATCTATCATATATATATTCCCATCCCTCTACCTTCCCAGAGCCTCCCTGCTGAAAACTTAAGAACTCGTTGGTCTCAACTCCTTGGCATCAGGTCTGCCTTTCTTACCCATATGAGAGCCGCCTGGTCCCCCTCCTGGGCCATCTGGTTTAGGAGCTTTACACTGGTTGCATTCATTCCTCCAAGAGAAGTTCATGTTCTCACAGGTGCTAAGGAGAAGGAAGACAATTAGTCTAGAGGAATGGGGAATAGGCAAGACCTAGAATTAGGAAGAAACTACCATGACTTCTGAGATACAGTGAGAAACAGGCCTCTGAAAAACAAAAAGGCTTGCTTCCCCCAATCAGAACCAGAACAAAAACCATTATTACCGAACCCAATCAATTACCTTTCCCATTATATCAACCTTACATAGGTAAGGTTTTGGCTAAATCTGACCCCAACAGTGTGGCGCCGACCTTTACTTCTTTGGAAACATCCACATACCTAATTACCGTACTATCAAAGAATAAGTTTCACTCACGGATTAGGACACTTCCAGTCACCAGCGCGCTGCTGTCCACCACCACCACCACCTCCACTGGGAAATCCTCCCCGGCCACCACCACCACTGCCACCACCTCCGTAGCCTCCACGGCCCATGGGTCCTAATGCAGATAAAACAGGTATAGGTCTGTCTGCTCCCCACCAACTTTGGTCAACCTAACCCGTTCCAGGCACCTTTACCATTTTCTGCACTCTCCCAACCCCTCCTTTGCAACCACCAGTAGCTAGCTCCTCACCTCCTCGCCCTCGGCCTCCACGACCATTGCCACCACCTCGATTAAAGTCTGCCCGGCGAGTAGCAAATGAGACCTTGATAGGATTTCCAGAGAATTCTTTACCTAGAGAAATGAAGTATCAAGACACTTTGGATTCAAGACACATTAATCCAAAAATTCAAGCTAAGAGAAGCACGCCTTTCTGAAATGGTTTATAATCTACTGACACATAACCAAAAATGAGGCTATACTTGAAACCATAGCTAAAGAGTTGGAAAACTCTGAAGAACCCTCAAACTATGGCCTGCTTCCTAAGGCTTGCTGCCCTAGCCCCAGCCCCACCTCTGCCAGCCTTCTTATACATACCATCAAACCAGTCAATAGCTGCTTTAGCAGAAGGTGGGTCATCAAAAGAGACCGTTGCCTCTCCCTTCAGCTTGCCAGTTTCCCTGTCTGTGTACAAATTAATCATGGGCTGTCCCGTTTTCTTGTTTGTCTGAAGGCAAAATGAGGTAACATCAATTTTAGAGGCTGTAGTATTCCCACCTTCTTCCCCTAGAACATGTGGTTTATCATTCCCAAACTTCAGCTCCTCTCTTCCCAGTTACTCCTTCCTACCTCACAGGTTAAAGTCCATTAAAGAAAAGTGTTTCTCACTCCAACATTGAGAAAGAAAACTAAAGATTATAGAGTTCAAATCTCAGAATTTAGGGCACTCTTATCAGTTATACCTTTTGTGTTAAGATAGAACTTCTTTTAGAAAACAAGTGACCAGGCACAGCAGTTCACGCCTATAATCCCAGCACTTTGGAAGGCAGATGGATCGCCTGAGGTCAGGACTTCAAGACTAGCCTGGCCAACACAGCGAAGCCCCATCTCTACTAAAAATACAAAACTTAGCCAGGCGTGGTGGCGGGCACCTGTAATCCCAGCTACTCGGAGGCTGGGGCAGGAGAATCACTTGGAACTGGGAGGCAGAGGTTGCAGTGAGCTGAGATCATGCCACTGCACTCCAGCCTGGGTGACAGAGCAAGCTCCATCTCAAAAAAAAAAAACCAGCAACTAAGGCTCCTTCCTCAACAATTTAAGCTAGCAACAACCATTAAGACTTTTGTTTTTAGGCCGGGCGCGGTGGCTCAAGCCTGTAATCCCAGCACTTTGGGAGGCCGAGGCGGGTGGATCACGAGGTCAAGAGATCGAGACCATCCTGGTCAACATGGTGAAACCCC